CTGTCTCTTCTGTCCCCTGCCCCTTCCCCCAGTTCCCTCCACCCTTTTGCCCCCCCCCCCTAACCCTTTGGGACAAATCCAATACATTTTCCCAAACTTTACTTTATCCCCCCCCTACCTTCCCAATATTCCCCCCATAAAAAGGGCCTCCGAATTTCCCCAAAAACTTGAAGCAATCTCTAAAAATATTGCAGAGCCCCAAACCCTTTAATGGACACTGATCCACCTTTTCCCCTCTTTCTCTCTCCTCTGCTCCCCTGCGCAACCCCTTTTTTCACAGCGCACCCGTTCCTTTGCTGCTTTAACATTTTTCCACTGCCCTTTCCCCAAAGGGACTTTTTAACCTTCTAACCGTAGGAACCCTTAAACCCCGGGGTTTTCAAGTATCTTTTCATTGCCAATCATGGCCTTTTTCAGTGGAAAATACGCGGGCCCCAGGGGTTTAAACGGGGTGAGCTTCAGAAAGTTACCCCTCCCATTTGCCCCCGTTTGGGGTTTTTCTTACAGGAAAACCCAAAATTTAAAACTCTGCTTTATTTCTCACTCTCAGGGTAAATTTATTGTATTCTTCAGAATTTCCCTTTTTCCCCATGGGAAACCCTTTTAAAGAAATTCCCTTCTTCTCCGCACTGATAAATTTCCCTAAACCCTCAGCTATTTATTCATACTTCCTGCATTACACAGAGCCCGTAACCACTTAATAGGTTTTACGCTCTTTTCCTTTTTTATCTCTCTCCTTCTCGGGCATTATCTATTCCCATTTTGCCTTCCTTTTTTTCTCATTTCCCCCACCGATTCTGTTTTCTTTTGGAAATTTTAAAGCCCAAACCCTTTCCTCTGGGGGGGGCTCAAAATGTGATTCCCCGGGGGAATTCCCTTAGGCTTTTTTTTGCCCCCCACCCCCTCCATGTTTTAAATACGTATTTTGCACCCCCTTTTGATCCTCGGAATCGTACCCCCTCTTGCATCGATCTCTCCCTTTTCTCTTCCTCCGCCCATTAGACTTTACTTGGTTTTGTTTTTTCCCACTTAACGAGTTTATCATTTCCCCAAACATTCTTACTTCCCCTTCATATTTGCCCCCCTCTTCGCACCCCACGCTGGCAAATTTAAACGGGCAAATTTGGGAAACCCTTTTCCACACCCCGACTGTTTTTTTTAAAAAGGGGTTTCCCCTTTGTCCTCCACCGATGAGCTTTTACCCCCCTCTTTTCCTCCCCCGTTTTTAAACCCCAGCTTCTCATTCTAAACCCCCCAAAATTCGGGGAGGCATTCTCAGAAATGCGTGGGCCCTTTTTTTGGGCTCCTGCTTGTGCTCGTGCAGTAAAATTTTTAAACACCTGCATGGGGCAGGTACCGTACAATAGAAAACCCCAGAGCGACTCCTTATTTTAAACAAAAACGTGCGATCGCCGCCATGTCCCTCCGTGACGCTAAACGCACTTTCCCGGCGAGATTGTCTCCACCCTCACCCTTTTGCTTCCCCTATGAGTGCAGGCTGGAAAAAAAATACAAAAACGAGGTAAATATTCTCCTACCCGGCTCCTTTTCTGCGGGGTTTCCGGTGTTTTATATAGCAAAAACCCCCCTAGATTTGCCAATGAAATGGGAATCATCTGGTCTGTATTTTTCAGGGACTCCATCTATGCCCCCCATTCTTTCCCCAAATCTGCCAAAAAGATTAGCACCCTTGACTTTTCTTTTCCAGAGAAGAACATTTTAATGTCCTTTTTACCAAATTCAAGAACTTGGGGGCCCAAAACTCTCAGCTTTTCGAACTCCCCAGCTGGCCCCCACACATTCATATTCGTAAGCTACAACATTTACAAACAGTCCACCCTTTTAGTCCCCATTTACGCCTTTTTCAAAACTTTTTTGGGCACAAGGAGTTTTTCCACACTGTGGAAATCCGCCAAATTTTTTCTCCCCTTTCCCCCCAAAACCCGGCACTACGGGGCATGAAAACCCCCACTAACGTCCCCTTTGCCCCTTACCCGTGCAGTTTGCAAAAAAATGGAACCTCAGTAAATAGAAAATTTAGTGTGGTATTTTTGAGACACACAACAGTTTCCCCCCCACCGTCCCAAAATGGCTTTCCCTAAGGGGCTTTTTACCATAGACCCCTTACTGCGCTTGGATACGTATGTTTCGTAATGCCTTTCGAAAAACCACCCCGTTAAATTTCCCCTAATTTTTTTACCTTTAGAAGGCATATAAAACAACTTGGAGGTATAATATTTTTTGCCCAAGCCCCCTCCATTGCCCTTTGAGGCAATCCCACCATCCTTTCCCTTTAAAAACTTTTTTAAAAAAGGAAAAAAAGGGGAAAATTTTCCTGTTTGGGGTTAAATAATGGGCCCCCCTCCCCGACTTTTCCCCAACTAAGGTGTCCCCCAGGGGTGTTTCTGACACAACACTTTTTCCCCCTTGCTATTAATGATTTCCTCTAGTCTTCCATTTAAAAAATTTTGGGCAACACTCTATGTTGATGACTTCGCTATTGCCCCGTGGGAGGCGCTGAAATGTCACCCCCCCTTACGTTTTCCCCCAGCATGCCGCGACCCTGTTTCCAATTTGGGGCCCCCACACATGGGTTTAAAATTTTTCCGCACAAAACCCACCAAATCAAATTTCACTAGACCCCCGTCATCTCTGAACATCCTTTTACCTCTATGGCTTTTCCCTAACCCGAAAAGGATATCAAGTTTTTTGGGCCCCCCTCTTTGATCGTAAAGGGTTTTCCTGGGAAAACCCCGCATTAAACCCCTCTGAAAAGGGAACTTGTACAGCCGGCTTAACCTTCCCTTTAAAAACCCCTTTCTCCCTCTTCGTGGGGGAGCTGATCGCGAACCCCTTTCCCTTTACCTACATTCCACCCTTTTTTTTATCGAAACTTTTATTTGGTGACCAGATCTATTCAGCGGGATCTCCTGCTACTCTCTCTACCCTTTAAACCCCCTTCATCACCAAAGGGTTACATTTATGCCTTGGTTTCTTTTCGCTCTTTTCCCCCCGTCGAAAGCCTCTATGAAAAGCGAAAGTTTCCCTCCCTTTTCCGATCGCCGTGATGCCCATTGCCTGCCCCTACTATGTACGCCTCATGATTTCCCCCAAACCTTTCCCTTTATAGAATGGTCACTTATATTAGTAGACAATTTCATTTATTTGTTCGCCGCCCCTGGGTTACTCCGTCCCCTTTTCTCTTCGCCTTCATTTGCTCTTGTCTTCCTTCAACTACCACCTTTCTATGTACATGTAGCATCCGCTTTTCCCCCACCCCCCTGGGAATTTTTTTCCCGCTGTTCGAGTCTGTTCTTTCTCCCTTTCCCCTTTCTCGAAAGCCCAAAAATGTCCCACGGTCGCTTTTCCCCCCTTTTTTGACCACTTTTACCTTTATTCTCATGCCCTTGCTGTGTACACAGATGGCTCTAATCTTTTTTGACGGCGTAGATTCGCAGCATGTTTCCCCACAGCGCGTACAAAGGGGTTTTCTAACTTCATCTAGTAAATTTTCTGGGGGAATTAAATGCCTTTCCTTTCAGCACTTATCCGATTGCATCTATGCCTGTGTCTCCTTTTTGGTTGTCTAGACTCCCTTAGGGGCTTTTTCAGGGTATACAAAAATTTATACACCTCACCCCTTTGTCCCCCCCGTATCCAACTTTGGGGTACGCCGAAACTTTAAAATAACATAAAGATATTTTTTTGGTTGGGGCCTGGTCATGTTGAAGTACAGGGCAATGAACAGGGAGACACTGCTGCGCGGGGCAGCAGACATGACCTAACCAGTTTCTTATAGAGGGATTCCATGTACGGGGCTAATTTTTTCTGTAATATCTTTCCCCCCTTTACACCCTTTGGGAACAACCGGGGGTTGGGGTCTAATAAACTCGGCAAAAAAATTTTTTAACTTAAATTTAAAACCCAGTATAGGGTTTCTGGGCCTTTTTCTTATCACCATTTTCGAGGTTTGGGGGGACTACTCTCCCCCGTCTTTGCATTGGCCCCTACTCCTTAAATCATGGATATCTCAAAGGAGAGGCGTCCCTTTCTCCCTCTGTTTAGAATTGCCCCAACTCCATTAAACAGTCACCACATTCTGTTGGACTGCCCACTTTATCAACGAGCCGCAGGATTTTTCCCCCTGTCGTCGTCTTCGCCCCGCTGGGGTCTCTCTTTACCTTCCCCCCCTGCTGATGGACCCACCTTCATCCGGACCCCCTCTCAATTGACTTTTTGACAACGCTGACTGACTTCACAAATTCTGATACTTTCAGCCCTTTCTACTTGTATCTCTTGCTACCCTCTACCCCCGTACTATCCCCTGCCCCGCTGTTTTCTGTAACCTGCTGATCATCCCCCCTCCCCTTCTGCCATCCAATTCCCTTGCTTCCTTCCCTACCCTGCAGCGCTGTATAGCCCTTGTGGCTTAGCGCTTCTTTTTGATTATAATAATAATAATACTATTGTAAATCAAAATCAGGCCAATTGAAGTACGTAACTAAATAAATTATAATAAACTGCTAAACCACAAGGGCTAATATGGCTAAAGAAATATCTTCTTGCACAGGTGTAAATTATTATAATCAAGGGGGAAGCGCTAAACCCGGAGGATTATACAGCGCCTGGGGGGGGGGGGGATGTGGAAGGCATTCAGGCTTAATTCGGGGAACTGGAGCACAGATCCAATTCCCTAAATCAAGAGCCCCTCACCAACATCAAGGAACCTTCCTTGAGGGGCACAGGTGTAAAGATACCTGCCACCTTTTGGTCAGTCTTGGCCTTTACAGGTGAACTGATACCAGAATTCCTCTTAACTAATAATTAAATGTCTGACAGATGTTGCAGTGCTGTGGATTTGCAGGTTTTATAAAGTAGTAATGGTTTGGGACTGTTTGCAGGTTACAAACTTAGTGGGTTTCCCTGATGCATGACTTGGCTTACTGCAGCTAGAAGAGAAAGTAGCTGGGGCTCTTACCCTCACCTGGGACTGGTTGTCGCCCCCCTCACCTCTTCCATCACCAGAGTGGTACCTGGGACTGCTTCACTGTTGGATGGCCTCGCAATATCCGCACCCAGAAACACCTCTCGAATGTCTTTCAAAAACGCCGGGTAATTATGGTACTATCCTTCGTAGTTTTGGAAAGTATTAAAGGTTCAGATTAATGTAAAATTGAAAGATCTAGTAACGAAAATAAAAATTTTTGGCTCGGCCTGTATAACGGCCCAAGTAACCATGATACCTATTAGTTCAGTAAATTTAGATTTTTCTAGTCAAATTAGATCCAAGACTTAGTTTACTAACCTTTTGACTAGTTCTTCTGGTCTTAACCCACTGCTTTAATTATCCTCGCAGGAAGATAAAAGGGTGTTAGAGCGTGTAGAATCTGACTTGGTGCCCAGGCGAGTGTGTCGTAGTCTCACTCGTGATTACTACCGAACTTTACTCTCTCGTAGAAACTCTGCTTTTGACTACAAATATGACAGCAGTGCACCTTACCAACATTCATTCTTAGGGTAAGTCGATTTGGATAAAATATTGCCTGAGCTAAGGTATAAACCTGCAACAGTCTTAATATAGAACTCTGCCCAGGCAGAATAAAAGAAATGGATTACTTTGAAAATTATCCTATGATCAGCTTGGTTTAAAATCTGCATTGGTGTAACACTTGTCAAACTTTCTCAGATTTAAAGTTTTTAAATTTTTGCAGCATTAGAGATCCAGAGCTGATCTGCACAGAGCCCTATGACTCTAACTACTGCTTGGTGAGTTTACATACCTGACTTAGTTTTCCAATTGGGAGGTGGTATGGTAAATTCAACCCCCCCCCCCCCGGTAACATTTCCATTGTGGGGGGGGGCATTGAATCTAAATTTAGTAATAAACCGAAATACAGCCACTAACTTGGTAAGACTGTCCTAGATTAAAGTCTTGTTTACCTAAGGCGACTGGGGGTAGATTATCTGGCAGAAACGTATGCATCTTAATCACTTATTCAATTCAAAGTTTATTCTCTATAAGGATTACAATGCTGAGTTTACAGAAATTTGGTTATGTGGTTTACATGTAGTACCACTAGAACGCTTAGCATGGCTAGGCATTTCGGGCAGACTTAGTTTTATTCTTAATTGTAAAATATTACAAATTATGAGGTAAGTTGGTATTATGGCTGACTAAATACTAGTTTGTGAGTTTAGCAATGTGAATGCTTTTGTTCTGGCACAGTACATAGTTTCAGTATTGGAGTATCACAGGATTCATTATTTTAAGATTGAGGTTAATATTTCTGTTTATGGTCAAATGAGTGAGTGTGTGTGAACCACCAGGTGGTATTCGTGTAGTTAGTTGACGGGGTGTATCAGGGAGATAAGATGTTTTCTAATGGTAGTTTTGAAGGTGATGAATGTGTCTGCAGTTCTCGAGTTCTCGGGTAGGGTATTCCAGATTTTAGGGCCTTTGACATACATTGAATTTTTGTAAAGGTTTAGTCGGACACGGGGAATGTCGTAGAGATGTTTGTGTCTGGGGTTATGCCTGTGGGTTCTGTCACAACTATCAAGAAAGTGTTTTAGGTGAAGGTTGATATTAGAATTTAAGGCCCTGTAGATGTAGATTGCACAGTAGAAAGTGTGGATGTACTGAACTGGGAGTAACAAAGTTTAGGTCTATGAAGAGTAGGGGGGGGGGGGGTTTGCCAGGGATGGGATTGTGATTATTCTTACTGCAGCTTTGTTGGGTTATTATTGGCTTTAGGTATGTTGCTGCAGTTGATCCCCAAGCACAAATAGCATAGGTGAGGTATGGATATATAAGTGAATGGTATAGTGCGAGAAGGGCATTTTGCGGCACGTAGTATCGTATCTTGGAGAGGATCCCAACCGTTTTGGATACTTTTTTGGTTATATGCTGGATATGGGTGCTGAAATTCAGGTTGTCAAGGTATAAGCCTAGGAATTTGCCCCCATTATTTCTGGTAATTAGTGTTGTCAATCTTAATGTTAATTTGTGCATCTCCTGCTCTGCTACCAAACATAATATAGTAGGCTTTGTCAGTGTTAAGCCTAAGTTTATTGGCCGTCATCCAAGTCGATATTTTAATCAGCTCCTCATTCACAATGGTGTTGAGGGTGGCAAGAATAGGGTGAGATGACAAAAGTCGTGTCATCAGCAAAGAGAATGGGTTTCAGGTGTTGGGATACGTTTGGAAGGTCATTGATGTATATGAGGAAGAGCAGGGGACCAAGGACACTTCCCTGCGGAACTCCAGTATCAAGTGGCCGTTTTGCTGATGCTGTCTTTTTAATGGTGACGTACTGATACCTATTAGTAATGTAAGATTTGAAATAAGCAAGCGCATGGCCTCTTATACCGTAATGATCAAGTTTGTGGAGTAGGATGTGGTCTGTCAAAAGCTTTTCTTAGGTCAATAAAAATTCCTAGTGTATATTCCTTATTTTCCCAATGCTGTGTAAAGCAGATCTACCATTTTTATGATTGCATCATTAGTGCTTTTATTTTTCCTGTATCCAAACTGGCAGGGGTTGAGTATGTTTTGAGCCGTTATAAATAAATACAGTCTCCTGTGCACGAGTTTCTCAAAGATTTTGGATAGCAATGGTAAGTTAGATATTGGCCTATAGTTTGTCTGTAGGGTCACCACCTTTATGTATTGGTGTAACCCTTGCCATCTTGAGTAGTTTCGGGAAGGTGCTAGTTTCTAGTGACTTGTTAAAAAGTAATGAAATAGCATGCGAAAGGACATGGGCCGCTCGCTTGTACAGTAGTGGTGGGACACGAGACAGATTCCCAGTTATTTTTAAGTGACTTTATAATCTCAGCGACTTCCGTGGGCTCAGTTGGTGCAAGATAGAAGGAATTAGGGAAATTCCCATCTAGGTAGTCCCCAGCATGGGCATTGGTATGTGGGATTTTACTGGCGAGATTAGATCCTATGGTTGAGAAGAAGTCGTTTATCTTGTTAGCTGTGTCAGTGGGATGTAGTGGTGTTTCATTAGGTTTAGTTAGGACAATATTCTTGGTTTTTCTCAGTTTGTGGGTCCCTAGAATGAGTGTTTTCCAGGTCTTTTTTATATCTCCTCTAGAATCTGCTGGAGTAGTATAGTTGTTTGGCTTTCTTTATTACTTTGGTGAGAGCTGATGAATAGTGTTTAAGAATATCTTTGTGTATTAAGCCCTGTCTGTATTGCTTTTCATATTGGTTTCTTGTCACCAGATTTCAAAATGGTGCTGGTTAGCCATGGGCAACCAAGCAGTTTGTGATCTGTTTTGTTTTTATAGGACAATGTTGTATAGTCAAAGTAATTTAAGAAAAATCTGTCCAGTCATCAATACCATTGGCCTTGAATTCTGTAGGCCAATAAAGTCTCTAGGTCAGCTGTGAACTTCCTTACTGAGGCCTCGTCATGGAGTCTAAATGAGACTTTGTTGTATTCAAGTGGTGGTTTACTAATGTTCGTCAGGAGGAAGGTAGGGTAGTGGTCTGTAGTGCTATCTGTGATTATCCCTGATTTAAGGGGGGGGCTAGTATATTGGTCCATATGTGGTCTATTATGGTTGCACTTGTCTCAGTGAGCCTGGTTGGTTTAGTTATTGTTGGTATGAGAAGTGTGTTGTTCATATTGTTGATGAAATCAGTTACAGGCTGATCACTAGTAACCCAAGGTTGATCTTTCTCCAGCTAAGAGAAGGTGGTGCTTATTCATGTCTGCTTTTTAGTGACTTTAAATTTCTCACTGAAATTTGGGATTTTGTGAGGTACCCGGGTAAATTGGACAGATTTTTTATAGGCGTCTTAAGGTTTTTTACAGTAAAATTAGCAAAAATGTATTCCCCAAAATTCATCACTAAAGCAAGTGGTGCTAAGACAAGATAATTGGTTAGAGTAATAGATTGCAATACCACCCCCAACTTGGTTTGGTCCTGCAGTTGTGAATTGCTGTGTAATCCTGTAGAGGGTAGATATCTATTGTCCTGCTTAAGCCAGGCTGGGTAAGAATAACCGTAATACCTTTGGCTATTAAGAGGCCAATAAGTCTAAACATTGAGATGCCTATGCAACATATGGGATCTTTGAGGAAACTTTTCGCCACAGTGGCTTCATCAGTCCAAACAAAGAAAGGGTGGTGTAAGTAGTAGTTTGAGGTAATTAGTCCCTCAGCCTGGAGTCTGTTCAGATTGGACTGAACACAAACTCAAAGCTGAGGGACTAATTACTTCAAACTCCTCTCCTTATACCTTTCTGCATTGTATTGGACTGAAGTCACTGAGGTCACACGTTTCCTCAATGAAGATTCCTACATGATCACAAGTCTGTCTGCAACTTGTCAGTTTAAAAACCATTTATCAAGTCTAAGGGTTAAATTTGACTTTAAAACTCCGCACCATTCAATATTAATTTGTGAAAAAAAGTAGGCTTCTATTAATTTTCATATGTAATGGAAGAGTTAGTGAAAACTTAAAAATTTTACTAATGAAAGGTTCTTTCAAACTTTATACTTCATCCTGAATGTCTTTTTTTTTCAGGGCGACCCGACACCCATCCCTTTTATGCCGTCAAGCCATCGTTTACAAAGGGCGATCCATTTTCTCCCTTGATGGCGATGGTGTCCCACATCAACAGTCCTCACTCCTCCACCTCCAGGATCATCAATGCTTATGGGAAGGAAAGGTTCCACAGTGACAAATGGTACATCATGGGTATTGGGCACAACCTGAACAAGTGCCAGGAGGATGACTTACCAGGAGTGACAAAGTACCATACAGACCTGGAGGTACTTACAGGCGTCGTAGTTAACCAGGTCTTCACACCTGGGCCACGGTACCCTCCTTTATACACTCTCACCTCGACCCCCAAAGCAGTGGACATTTCAACCCAAAAAATAAATTTTACAGTATTTTCTCCCCATAGCACTGTTTTAATAAAATAAAATACACCTTATTGACCTTAAACTTGACCTAAAAATTGGAGAGGGGATGAATAATCTATGGTTTTAAGCACATGGAATTAGCTTCAAATGTTTCCTTGAGGTTATCTATCCTTTAGTTGCTCTGATTAAGGAGGTAGACAGATTCGTCTTAATTGATCTTAATTTCTCAGCCACTAAGATAATCCTAAATTTTCAACTGGCCCGGTGGCCTGGTGGCTAAAGCTCCCGCTTCACGCACGGAGGGCCCGGGTTCGATTCCCGGCGGGTGGAAACATTTCGACACGTTTCCTTACACCTGTTGTCCTGTTCACCTAGCAGCAAATAGGTACCTGGGTGTTAGTCGACTGGTGTGGGTCGCATCCTGGGGGACAAGATTAAGGACCCCAATGGAAATAAGTTAGTCCTCGATGACGCACTGACTTTCTTGGGTTATCCTGGGTGGCTAACCCTCCGGGGTTAAAAATCCGAACGAAATCTTATCTTAACTAGCTTACCTAGTTTCATCAATCAACTTTCAGTTGATAAAAAGTGAAATACTGAAGTATAAATATGGCTTACAAGCCTTCCCATTCCCCCCCCAATATAATTCATACAATGCTGTCATGGTGCGGAAAGCCAATAAGAGGAGCGATTAAGGACTCCATCAAGCTGGCTTTAGCTGCCGTAACAAGGACCTGTTTAGAGTAAAATAACGGCAATCCACTCCGAAAGACTTTCATTGTCAACACTGACAAATCTAAACTCCTGGATGATTCTTCACAAGTCCCTACAAACATAATTCGCCATATCCCAATCTGCATTTCTGAGTGTCTAGACTGAAGCAGTGAAGACTTCTATCAAGGAACACAACACTTGGGCCTCTGCAGACATCACCAAGATCCCTAATGCCTCGTCAATGATCACTTTCTGACATTTCCAGGGCTGGCAAAGCTCTGACACTGGCCATCTCATCACAAACCCAAGCCATATAGAACATAAACGCTTAGTCTCCCATTGCTGAACCAGTTCTATAATTGCACCAACACATTCTGTTCAGAATGTACGAACAATGGACACTAATTCAGATCTTGCACCATAATTACAGTTCCGACTATTAGCCCTGCAGTTGTGCTCACTTGGGGAAAGGAAATCATATCAAACAAAACAAAAGATCTGAAGAACACCAATTTACGGACATTAGCTGCAATAACCAAACTACATGCGCACACCACAAAAATATTCTCTACCTGATGGTGCTCCCTCCATGGTGTATGCACACCTTGTAGAGCAAACTCTGGCATTTTCAACACCACCATAAACTGAACATGCCTGCCTTCAATTTCCCGAACTCCACACGTTCAGCAGACTGAGATCCTTCCCAACGTCGTGAACTACAATGCCCCTGCAGACCTGTCTAGTGCCCAAGCAACTGTTCCATAATCTTCAACCACCTCCTAACTTGTTGATACACTTCACTGTTCCTGCTGGCCCAGTTACCTGCCAGCACCATTGTAGACTCTCCCACTGAATCCACTTACGAAGTTGAAGACTCCAATACACCCTCGTGGGGGAAACCTTACCTTCTACACTTCTCAGTCTAACTCTGACACCACGACCTGTACTGAGCCTGTTCAGTTTGAGCCACATCTCAGTTATGCACCCCATACCCATCGTGTGGGCGGTAGTCAAAAGATTAAAGGTACATAATGGGTCCAGGGACTGGGCCCCAAAGTTTTTGTAGCTGAACTAGGTACAAAGGTAATGAGTTGTGTAAGTAAATTTACATGACTACAACTGAACTAGAGTAATGAGCAAGTCGCACTTCGTCACAACTGTAATGAGTTACTGGTGCAAATATAGTTGGGACGGACTGAGTCGAAGGGATGTTAGGAACTATATATTCATAGTTGTCGGGCAGCAGAATAACTAGAAAGTGACGTAGTGGCATGAACCATACAGTTTCAAGAGGTTCGATAAAGCTCATGGCGCATTATCAAGCAGGAGCACTAAACCCATAGGATTATGCAGTGCCAGTGGGGGGGATGTGGATGGAATTCAGGCTAGATTCAGGGCCCCTCGCCAGCATAAAGCGGAGTGGATGTAGTAGCGATTACTGAAGAGGCGGAACCATGATTCTATCACTGCAACCACGAATAAGTGCACACACGCGTGAGCACAAGCGCACGCACAAGCGCACGCACAAGCGCACGCACAAGCGCACGCACAAGCGCACGCACAAGCGCACGCACAAGCGCACGCACAAGCGCACGCCAAGCGCACGCACAAGGCCCCGCACAAGCGCACCACAAGCGCACGCACAAGCACCACCGCACAAGCACCGCACAAGCACACCCCACAAGCACCGCACACCCCAAGCACTAAAAGTGCACGATACCCCCACTTCACGTCACTGACCAAAGTTGAGGGTTCATCAAGCCTCTACATTACACTTTTAGAGACTCTAACCACCTCCAGGAGCAGCTTCAAAAAATTGAAAAAATGACTCTAAAACACTTGCATCCTTAATCACATCAAGAAACACCCAGTTAGTTCCCTCCTCCCCTCCTGATGTTCCTGCGCCCTAGTCTACTGCCAGCTTCTGGAAATTAAAGGCCTCCAACTCACAATATCGTGCAACAGAGCCTGTAAATGGCCTTTTCTCAAATCTCCCCCACAAGTGCCTTAGCTGCACCCCTGGCACTTTCTCTCCAAAAGCTATTCTTCAACTGTCCCATCTTTCCCGCTCGCCCCACAAAGGAGTCTTGTCTAAACACTTGTCCTGGTCTGCCTTGAAAGGACCACTGATGTTTATTCATGTTTGCCTGAAAAAATCAACCTTAACTAATATTAGTACACCAGTCAACCATGCTCATGAAACCAAATATATAGTAGTTTAAAAGCCTGGTTGTTGGAACTTATTCAGTCCGAGAAGTCCCAACGGGGAGAAACACACCGTTCGAGGGCCCTTAAAAACCCAACCAAAACACACACCTCCCGGGTTGGCGGAGGTGGATGGGAGGTACTACTTAATTTATAGATTTACCCTTCAGGGAAGTAGGTAGTTTTACTGTTTAGTACACTAATATTAGGATTATTGAGGCAACTGTAACCTCTGCTTCCTCTGAGTGCAGTCTGGAAAAAAGTACGGAAAAATGAGTGGTAATATTTTTCCTGACCTGGCTCCTGTTCCCGCGGGTTGCCGGTGTTGATATAGCAAACCCACTAGATGTTGCAATGAAATTGGCATCATCTGGTCCGTATTTCTCAGGGACTCCATCTATGCCCCTCATTTCTTTCCCCAAAATCTGCCAGAGAGTTAGCACCCTTGGCTTTTCTTCTCTCAGAGAAGAACAGTATAATGTGCCTTTTACACTTCAAGAACTGGAGGCAACACACTCAGCTTGCCGATCATCGGCAGCTGGGCCCGACGACATTCATTTCGTATGCTACAACATTTACATCAGTCAGCCCTTGCAGTCCTATTACGCCTTTACAATCTTATTTGGTCACAAGGAGTTCTTCCACAGCTGTGGAAATCTGCTGTGGAAATTTATTTGGTCCCTTAAATTCCACGGGTCAGATCCTGCATGGCCGTACAGACGGCTGAGCTGGATGGCCCTTATAACCCTCCCAAACAAATTATTATTATTATAATCAAGGGGGAAGCGCTAAACCCGGAAGATTATACAGCGCCTGGGGGGGGATGTGGAAGGCATTCAGGCTTAATTCGGGGAACTGGAGCACAGATCCAATTCCCTAAATCAAGAGCCCCTCACCAACATCAAGGAGCCTTCCTTGAGGGGTCCCAAACAAAGCATTCTCTGGTTGGCGGTTGTTGGTAAGCTTATTTAATTTATAGATTCTCTTCAGGGAAGGAGTAGGTAGTTTTACTGATAGTATATTAATATTAGGATTATTGAGGTATCTGTAGATAATAATAGTGTAGACCTAAGACCTTAACATAGGTAGTAATAGGCCGATAATGTAGGCAAACACTAGGATAAGTTAGCTAGGGAGAACTGGCAGCCCTAACTTGAATGGCGAGGCGCGGGTCACAAAGACAGAATAGCGTCCTTCTTAAGACAGACACCAACTGGACAAGACGTGCCGTGATCAGCAGACGGCGCCCCCACGTGTCTTCACATCTGAGACCTGGGGAAATCTGGTAGAGGCACCTCGATGTACCGTAGATGACCTCCTCCATCAGCACATACAGTAAGACAAGATCTTCACCTTTTTCCTCGTAGATTCTGGCCAGTGTCTTGGGAAATAGTGGGTTGAGTTTTAACTGTGGGCCCGGTGTGCAACAGAGAGCATGCCCAGTAAGTACCAGTGTCTCAGAGCCGTCTGAAGCTAGTGTCTGAGTCTGCATAGTTATACTAGGGGGGTACATACCCTCTTGGATAAGAAATTTTGAGGTGCAGGCAGGACACAATTATGATTGAATATTGCAGGAATTAATGCTCCCCGGTTGCACGTGGTTTCTGAGGGGAGTCCAAAGGGGCTAAGGCTAGCTTGGGGAAGTGAAGATCAGGATATATGCGGCAACCCAGTAAGTTATCC